GACCGTTCGGTTTCTCAAAGCACTAGAAACGACAAAGCGGTCATCTCTAGCTGATGTAATCCTGCCTCGACCTGAACCAGGTCTTCAAGTAAGCAGACCGGTCTCTTCGTACCGTTGCCATACTCGTTGCACACTCGAGGACTTACACAAACGTTTCTCGCAGTTTCGCGCTGACCGTGGCCGATCTTCTAACGCCGCCACAACAGAATTTATGCTCATTGCAATATACTAACAGTGATAACAATACACAAATAATTTACAATTGACGTTAAAACCATAGAAACAAAAACTGTGCTGATAACGCTTTTTAGGAATTAGGCTAAGGGGCCCTTTTTATCCCAAACGCTTGTCGAAACAACAACGACAACAATTTTTTTTAAGAAATCTATTAGTAAACTATGTTACAACCGAAAATAGTTACAACAGACTAATAATTTCTAAAATAAATTCAAATTACGGGGTGAACCTAATTTTATGCTCGGAAGTGTAGTTTTAAAAAGCCAACATCCGATGTTTTCTGTTTTAATACTACCGTGTAAAAAACACACACACAAAATAACTGTTTAAATAATATTATAACCACTTATGCATTTTTGTGCACATTGAGCATTTTCATTCTAACAAAATTAATGAGAGTTGAAGCGAGCTTTTTATGCCTTAAAAATAATACCCGAATGTTGTAATGTTATCTGATAATGGCAATAAAAATCCAAAGACTTCATGATTCTTCTTACATGGTCAAATTATGCAATTTTAATTTTCTTTCTTACAATATTCTTCCGACTTCGACTTGAGTTTTCTCAAAATGTTGATTTTATTACTTAGGCCCCTTGAATTCTAGGGGCTCCATACTAAAGCTTCATTAGAAAATCGACATGATTCTTTGTAATCAACCCTACAGCAAACCAACGTTAGGCATGGTCTTATCAAAGCAGTCCAAAGTCTGTATAATGGAACGACTGCAAAAATTAAAACTGGATCAAGGATATCTGAAGGATTTATGGTCACGAAAGGACTAAAGCAGGGTTGCTGTATTTCGCCTACCCTTTTCAAAATTTATCTGGAACAAGCACTCAAGCTATGGAAAAGAAAATGTAATGGCATGGGAATCCCTCTCAATGACGAGACTACACTGTACACCTTATGTTTCGCTGATGACCAAATACTGATTGCCCAGGATCATGACCCCTTGACTTACATGGCTCGGAAGCTAATAGAAGAATATAACAAATGGAGTCTCGAAGTCAACATTAAGAAAACTGAAGCCATGTGTATTGGAGGGACAAAACAGTCCATTATATTAGACGATGGGGTAGAAATTAGAAACTGTGATGAATACAAGTACTTGGGTATGAAGATAACTCAAGATGGAACACTCGATGCTGCTATAAAAGACAGAAACATACAGGGTAGAAAAGCCATATCCATGATGAACGGCATTCTGTGGGACCAAACAATATCTAAAGCGAACAAACAACTCATATACAACACCATACTTAAAAGTGTAATCACATATGGCAGTGAAGTTTGGCCAATGAAACAAAGAACAGAGAAACTGTTACTAGCAACAGAAATGGACTTCTGGAGAAGAGCAGCAGGCAAATCAAGAAGAGATCGGATACCAAATGAGAGAATACGAGAAATGATGGGGTCAAGCATACAATAGTTGATGACATAAAAACAAAACAGTTAATATGGTACGGCCATGTACAGAGAATGCCAGATGACAGGATTCCAAAACAGATTTTGACGTGGACACCACAAGGGAGAAGGAAAAGGAAGACCGAGAAGAAGCTGGAGAGAGGGAATTGAAAAAGAACTAGAGAAAAGAGAAATCCCTCCAGGCCTATGGTTGAATAGAGAAGAATGGCGGTTAGGAGTCGGAAGGCGTCGCAGAACGCTGTAAACCGATAGTAGTAGTAGTTCCTTGTAATCAGAATTTCAGTGATATATTGCAAAACTCGTTTTATTTTGAATTTTGTAGCCGTCAGTAAAAATATATTAAAATATAGGCATCTCAATAAATGGAGTCAAGAAACTGCGGTATGCAGATGATACAATAGTGTTTTCCAATGCCATAAAAGGACTGCAAAACTTAATGAACAAAATAACTGAAATAAGTAAAACATATTGACTATATATAAACACCAGCAAACCCAAGGTAATAATCATCAGCAAGGAAAACATAACTGTAGCAAATCTGTATGTGAATCAAATGAGAATTGAACGTGTCTCACAATACAACTACTTGCGAACCATAATCAATGAGTTGTGGGACAATACCCAAGAGATTAAATGTCACATCGGAAATTCAAAAAGTGTATTCTTGACTATAAATCCTGTGTTCAAGAGCCATGACCTCACTCTAGAAACAAAAATAAGGCTCCTTAAATGTTACGTGTATTCGGTGCTTCTGTACAGATTAGAAACGTGGCCATTGAAGGCAGAAACTCTATCAAAACTTCAGACTTGTTTGGGACATGATAAATTCGTTAATATTTGAGTCGGATCACTAACATGATTCAAACTATATCGCTTATATAATTTACAAGCTCCAAACTGACATTTGAATATCATTTTAATGGATTTTCAAAACCATAAAATTTTTTGTAATTAAAAGCAAGTAATGTCCAATCAGTATAAATACCATATTGGTCCAAAAGGTGTCATGTGCTCTGATAAAGTCACAGTATTTAGAATTCCCAATACAGTACCTGTGGACAATAGTCCACTTATAGTTTATAACAGTAGCAACAATTTACTCTTAGATTTCAAAAGCTCCCAAATACAAGAATTTATTAGTTTTGAAGAAGGGGAAGTTGTTCCTGAACAAACTAATAAGTCTTTAAATCAAAACGTAGAGAATTATACGTATGGGGATGATTCAAATTATATAAACTTTAGACTTTTGAGCTATTGTTATAAAGAAGGATCCTGAAGATACCATGGATAGACAAAGTCATCAATGAAGAAGTATTGCGGAGGATGAACACAACCGCGGATTTGGTTAACATCGTGAAGGGCTGTAAGCTGCAGGTATAATGGGAAATCAAGGCAGATACGAGCTACTTTAATGCATTTTGCAAGGTAAAATTGAAGGAAAAAGGGCCCAAGTACAAAAAGAATATCCTGGCTTGCTAACCTGAGAGCATGGTATAGAAAGACCTCAACACAGTTATTTCGTATAGCAACCAACAAATTCATCATAGCCAGAATGATCACCAACGTTCGGAACGGACAGGCATCCTAAAAAGAAGGCCACTTATCTTTAATTATTTTGTTGAAAATACGTCCTGGAAGGTTTGAATCCATGTAATATGTTTTATTACCTTGGAAAAGGGAGTCTTTGGAGGTCGAGTGTAAATTGCTGGTATTTTATTTATGTACAATTGGTCTTCATACCTTGTCAATTTCTTTTAACTTTTAACATACATATATGGGAGTTTTTTTGTTACACCAATATTTGAGGCTTAAATCATGTATAGTAAAAAATATGTTGTCAGGTCAGAGGTGCACCAGATCATACATTATATTTACTTGGATAATATACAAAAAAAGTATTATTTTAAAAATTTCATGACTGACTGTAGATGATAATTGAGTGGATCCCTCGTCGCATGCGACGGGCAAAGTCACTAGTATCTTAATAAAAATTGAAACCCAAAAGAATAAATGTTTGAGGCCGTGTCTTGGTTATATAGAATTTACTCCTATTACTATTATAAAAATTTTAGCTAAAGAGTAATCTTACACCACTCAGATAGTTTTGTAAAGATAAGTTTGTAGTTAGAGCCGTCTTAAAAAACTTGAACTTAAATCTCTCTCTCTTCAATCCTAACCCCCCAGAGGAAGTGTAGTGGTCGACGTGATGTCGTGTATTGTCCGTCTCCAGAGATTTCTGTCTCTGGTCATTTCTTTTAATTCATGCATAGGTCTTTGGCATATTCCTGTAATTTGGTCTATCCATCTTGTTGGGGATCTTCTTCGTAATCTGCGGCCTTCTACCTTTCCTTGTATTATGAGTCTTTCCATGTTTTCTGTGTTTGCTCTCATAACATGCCCAAAATATTTTAATTGTTGGAGATGGACTTTACTAGAGAGTCGTTGGCTAACTTTTAGCTCTCTTAAAATTGAATTATTTGTTCTACGGTCGGTTCAAGGAATTCGTAACATTCGTCTCCAACAGAACATTTCAGTGGCGTCTATCATTTTTCTCTCCGATTGTCTCAGAGTCCAAAATTATCATCCGTAGGTCAGTATTATGAATATTAAGCAGTTGATCAACCTCATCTTTATCGCTCTTGAAATTTGACAGTCCTTCCATATTTTGGTCATTTTTGCTGTGGCAACTTTTGTTAGATCACATCTACGTTTAATCTCTTCTTGTAATGACCCTGTGTTTGTGATTAATGATCCCAGATATAAGTATGAGCTCACAACCTCGAACCGGTCAATTGTGGTTATGTGTGGATGATTGTTGTGTGGTCTATCCACTATCATGATCTTTGTCTTTGATATGTTTAATTGCAGACCAAATATTTAACTGTCAAATATTAATAAATATAAAGGCAAATATTTGGTCTATTTTTGAACTTGGATATAAAGAGAATATATATTAAAGTTTATACTTATCATTCTGTTAAAGCGTTGTAAACAAGGTGTTGTTTAAATAAAGTTATTTTAAAAAAGTGTAACAGTACATAAAAATTACACGCAAAATATTAAATTTTCTATAAATAAATTAGAGTAGAAAAATTAACTTTTCTTTATAAGTTCATTTATACTCACATTATTAATGATCCCAAACCTATTGCTATGTTTACAAATGGTAACGAAAACTTATTTTAAACTATTATCTTGATGAAATAAGGTACAGTGCGGTTAACGAAGGGATAGTAAGTTAATAAAGTGGTGTATGGTGATTAGGAGGACATATTAAATACACCTCAGTCAGTTGTGGTATTGTGAAAATGATTATTGTAAAAATTAAATACCAAAGGTTAATTTTATTAGAATTTATTTAAAAATACTAAATGTTTACGTACACATTTTGTCGAATATCAACAGTATATACATTTGTCATCAAAGTCAGTAATCTTAGTGTTTCTGGGCATCTTTGTCTGCGTTACGGGCAAAGATGATGTGTTTACCGTATGATCCGAAGCTGTCTTTGTTGTTACCGTGGCTCAAGGGGCATGGGGGAGCTTGTTCACTTGGGAGAAATTCACCAGAGATGAATTGAGAGGATTGGAGACCAGATGAAAGACCGTATTCTTGTCCGTACACCTGTTGGCTGTATACTGGCAAGCTGACTTGTTCAACTACTTGTTGGCGGACAACGGGCTGTTTATAGATATTGTGGCGTACGTTGATGAGTTCAGGTACCTTAACAACAAGTGGTTCAGGTACAGTAACAGCTACTTTACGTTGGACAGCAACTGGGTAGGGTTGAGCAACTGGTACTTTGACTACTTCTGGTACTTTGACGTATACGGGTTTCTCAACAGCTACAGGTACAGTTTTGGTGATTGTAACTGGATAAGGTTTTTCTACTGTATATGGTACCTTTACTCTAACTTGGTATGGAACTTGGTATGGTACTTGAACTGGGTAAGGTTTGTCAACTGCATATGGTACATTTACTCTAACTTGTACTGGAAGAGGTTTCTCAACAGCAACTGGGTAGGGTTGGACTACTTTAACAGTCTTGGTGATAGGTACAGCAACGGGTTGTGCGATGGCAACTGGTACTTTGTTGATTACGTTGTGGACAGTATGTTGAGCAACTTCTTGTCTTACAACAGGGGCGCTGTAGAATTGAGCCGAGTTGGACAAAAGGACGGAGTTGTCTACAAGTGGAGAACTGTATGTTTGTGGCAAGGAATCAAAGTAGTACAAGTTCTCTCCAAGATGACGTTTAGTCTTTTCGGAGGATTTGGCATCCTTAGCTCCGGGTGCGGCAATAACAGCCAATGCAACGCAAGATAAAATCTGAAATTAAAAAAATAGCGTTGTTTACTGTGTCACTTTGATTTGCTGACAAATAAAAAATAAACTATAACATTATGAAGTAATTTTAAAACTAGTTTTTTTAGAATAATATTCTGAAAATGTAAGTAAGGTTAATCTGGTATTTAAATACAAACTTTAAAATAAATTCATAGTTTTACACAAATTCGCCATTTTATTATATATGTAGGCGTTTTCAAATGATTAAAAATAAGCATAAAATACTTCCTTTAAAAAAGTTAAATATGCTAGTATTCATTATGCAAATTTAATAGTTTCAAAGCTTTATAAAGTAATGATTTATCATTAGAGATAAATAATAGCTACTGGTGAACCAATGGGAAAATATATATTTCAAGTTGTATGATTATTATATGTATTTATTATTTAAAATTATTACTGAGTATTATATTACTATAATTCTGTTTGTGTGAGCTGTATGGTTTAAAAATCTATCAGTAGTGTGCTAACCTAGTTGTAGACCCCGTACTACATTATTCGGGCTTAGGCCCGGCAACAGTTTTGTCGAGCTACTCTTTCCACTCAACAAAACTGCAGGTGAAGTGCAGTTTGGTTGGGTATCGTCAAAATAGCAAGATATACATCATCAATCGGCAAAACAAGTATCGGACGACCGTGCAAAAGATGGAATGATAACAATAGAGGTCTTAATCCCCCAATGAACAAGCAGAATTGATTATAAGGAGAAAAAAGAAGAAGAATATTTTAAATTATGTAATAATAAAACCACCTAAAACCGCTCTACAAGATGCTATTGACATAAATTCACAAATTGATACTTATAATATGATGTAATATGAAACATGTAATATGAGTGATATTACATGTTTAATATACAAATACGTAATATGAGTGATATGAAACATCACTCTAACCAAAGTAACCAAAAAAAGGATCTTTTAGATCATAGTGATGAATATTATCGGATAAATATTATGGAAAGATGTCTACAAATCACCAGAGCAGATAGAATAAGAACAGAGGAAATATGGAACGGAATGGAAATCAAATTTCCATTAGTCGTATATTTAAAATAGCATTTTTATTTCTCGATTACAAAAAAGTTGAAAAACAAAGCCCTGCAGTGGTACGGGCATGTACAAAGAATGCAGAGCACGGTTGGCAAAAAAGACAATTGGACTGAGACCTACCGAAAAAAAGTGGAGACGAAGATCTGCTGAAGATGGAGAAGATACATAAGAAATGGTATGATAAACAGAGACCTCAGTCAAGGTGACTGCACAAATAGAGTGCTATGGAGGACAAACACAGCGAACTCATAATGGGAAAAAGTCGAGAAAAAGAATTGTCTCTTGACTAGCAAGGATAACTTGCCTACTAATTATAGAAATTAAATCAAATTCAAGTTAACAAAAATAAAATATGAATCCATTGTGGGAACTGATTTATTTTGTATCAAGTCAGAAATTGGTAAGGAAAAGAAAAACAATGTGTTTTGACTGTACAAACTTATGGAGCAGAGACTTTAACACGCAAAAATCTGCGAATAAACTCAGAGTTACACAAAGAGCCATGGAACGTGCAATGCTGAACGTGAGACTTCCGGACCACATAACAAACCAACAAATCAGGCAAAGATCAGGAGTTGAAGACGAACTGCTTCGAAAGAACAACGAAGCTTAAGTGGAACTGGCGGGGCACTTAGCCAGAAAACAAGATGGACTGTGGACAATACGTATTATGGAATGGATGCCCAGAAACTATAAAAGAAGCTGAGGATGACCACCGACTAGATGGACAGATGATAAACAACGTGTAGCGGGAAACTGGCTACAAGGGCCCAGTGTAGAGAACACTGAAAAGAACTGAGGGAGCCTTATGTCCAGCAGTGGACGCGATTGGCTGATTGATGATGAGTCAGAAATAAAAGTCAAGCTTACAAAAAGCATTAATAATAAATTTGCATTAACAGGCACTAACAATCATATTAAAACAGACTTGATTAACTTAAGGGACGCTATATGCAAAGGTGCGAAAAAAGTAGTAGACTACTCTGAACGGAAAAAGAAAAACGAGTGGAACACAGTCTAAATTACACAGATTTTGTAGAAGGAAAATAAGCCCGAATAATATAAAGAATTAAATAAACTGTCACCAAAAAGAAATAACCAACTTACTGTAGACAAAGAATAACAGTTACAGACATCAAATAGACCAATAATATTTAATAGTGAGGTGGTAAGAGCTATAGATCAAACGAAAGATAGAAAAGTGATAGGATTCGTTGAACTGCAGGTTGAATTTTTGAAAGTTTTCAACCAAAACAACCTGAATGCAATGTTACGAGATATATTACACCGGTCAGATTTTATTGGACTGCTGAAGTCTACGTTTGTAGTACTTTCCAAGAAATCTCTAAGATGAATCTCCATGAATTTTAAGACATGCAGTGAATATCGATTTATAAGTTTAATGAGCAACACCTCTAAAATATTCTTGCGTGTTATCCATTTAAAAAACACAAAGCAAAATTAGAGCTTGCCATGCTTTTCTCCTGTTACATGTGTTATGTACTATTAAGTGCTGTCTGCTACAGCATAAAGTGGAAGGGAAGCTTGAAATTAGAAGAGGTTTGAGCACAAAGCTCAAAAACCCTGGCTGAGAGAAAGCTTTCAGAAGCTGCAAACATAACACATGTGACAAAAAAACAGAGAAATATACTGTATAATGACGCCAACCTTTAGTGGAAGATGACCTTTATATAGTTCAATAAAATAGAGTGAAACACATCATTAAGAGGATATTGGAAGAAAAAAAAAGGATGATTTTGAAAAAATCGATGATTTTTCGTGAAATTGTACTAACAGTAAACTATTTTCTTTCTAAAACATTGCATCTCCTAATTACAAGCATATTTATACGCTCTAAAAAACCCCATAAAAAACAGCTAGAAATGGTAATAGTAAAGTATAACATTACACCTGACAAAATCTGTTTAGGATGTATTAGACTGCAGCCGTAAAATATTTTAATTTTATTTACAAACTTGGTACAAAAGTAATTAATATAAGATTTGATACTTTTATTATATGGAGCCATATTGAAATGGAAACTTAAAGATTTGTTAAACATGCTAGAGTTTAAGATCCAGGGTAGCAAGAAAGTAAAGAATCTCAAACAGATTGTATTTTGAAATATTTTGGTCGAACAGAAATGGTTTGAGATCTCTGAACCCACTATCAAGAAACACGAAAAACCTAACAGATTTTTTTAGAACCACAATAGTATTAATAACACAAGAATGTCTGGCTATCTAAAAAATACGATTTGAAAATTTATATTTGAAGGCGAAGACAGTATGTCATATTTGAGCTTGCTTATAAAGGCACTCTCTCACACCTCGTATCATCCCTTTGTTTTTTTTTGTGTATGATGCAAGCCGAATGTATACGTTCGGCTTACAGTGATTAGTTTATGAGACGGACAATTTTTCTATTAACACGATAGTATCTCCCTCACCTTAATTGACTGTAACATAAGTTATGTTGTAGTATAATTTATCATTTTTAAATATTTAACCGTACTATTTGCAGTATCTTCCAAAACCAAGAAACATAAATATTTTTATTAAAATTTTATCAAAGGTTTTCGATATTTGGACATTCTTATAATCGGTTAACAGTCAACGACAATGTGTTAGTTCGAGAGTATTTTGATACGTGTGCAATTTGACTGCTGAAACGGTTTACATTTTGCAAGAAAGATTCAAAATTAAAGGTTTATACTACAAAAATATTAATTGTGTCAGAGCACCTGCTAGATTTTTTACTGAGACACACCATAATAGACATGCAATTCGTAAATATGTGATTGAACTAATGCAGAAATTTAGAGCAACAGAGTCTTAACTTAAATAACTTAAAGGCAGAGCAATTACAGCCACTTTCAACAATAAACCTTTTATTTTTCTTCTTATTTCACCTTCTATAGCTCATATCCATAAATTTAAGTTCCATCCGTACAAAAATAAGAAAAGAACAAGATTATCATCATCGTCTCAAATTTTGCGAATTTATGACGCAATGCTTCATTGACAATCCACAAATGTTAGGCAGTATTTGCTTTTCGAATAAATGCGCACATTTTCATTAAATGGCTTGGTAAACAGACATAATTGCCGATAATATGCTGAGAGTGATCCACATATTGTGCGTGAATTTCACACACAGCATCCTCAAAGGTTAAACGTATGGTGTGGTATCCTAGGTGATCACATTATCAGACATTTCTTTATCACTGGAAACATAAATGATGCATCGTATCTTGAGTTACTTGGCCGAGTGGTTGATCGTATTCGAACAAGTAGAAAATGAAGATAATCTTTCCAAAAATTTGGTTGTATTTCAACATTATGGAGCTCCTCCACACTTTGCTCAACCAGAATCTCTAGATGAATTACGACAAAGAATAGAGGATAAATGTTAACAATTAAATACAGATGTACTAAGCAATGTCAGAAAATAATTTCAAAATAGGTTGTACTATTATAGTATGAAAGTAAATAGCAGTAATTTTGAACAATTATTGTATAAATTTTTGGTAGTGAAATATTTATTATAAATGTTTGTCAGCACAAAGACGAAAATCCAAATATGAAATTAAAAATGTAAAAGTAATTTAAAAAAATAAGGCATTATAAGAAGGTGAGAGGGTGTTTTTACCAGCAAGTCTAAACATGAAATAATGTCCCTTAGAAGTTAAAAAATAAAAGGTGAATAGTTTTAACTGAAAAGCGCTATATGATATCAGGACCAATAAAAACAGTATCGAAGAATGCTTTCTGCACTTCAAATACAATACTAGTGGCATAAAATTAAAAACGCGCAAACAATAATAAAGTATTAATTTTTAAAATAATTTGGTTAGGTATATAGTTGTTAATTTTACACTTACCAAGAAGGTCTTCATGTTGATCTAGTTGAAGAGAACCTGATCTGAATGATACTAAAATCTTTAAAATCGTCCTTTTTATATCATTATTAGTTATAGAAAAATAATCTGTTATAAAAAAATATTTGAACCTGTTCCAAAAATTAATATGGACCCGCTATTAGATTAGTATTCCAGCATGCGTAATTAATTGGTTGATTTAATTTAATTCTAGTACGATACCGGATCAAAGCTTATATTGATTATGCATATTGGTAAGCAAAACAGCAGATTAGATGGAAGAATTCGTGTTTTACTAATATTGTCTGATTTATTGACCATCTAAAATTTGTCGATATTCGAAAGTCCGTGAAAGTACGAAAACATTTTTTAACAAAAATTTTTTTTGTTAAATTTAAATTGGTTTTATCAAGCCAAAAAAATTCAAACAAGCCCAAAAACTAGTGTTTATGGAATATTTACAATAAAACGAAAAAAAATAGTAGTAATATAGTAAAAACTTTTTATAGCGACCACCCTTGGGGCATTAAAAGTTGGTCGGTACAAATAAGTGGTCGTTTAAGAGAGAACATAGTAAAATTAAAGCAACTGATCTGTATATCTGTCGTAGTTTATTTACATTTTGAATATAATGTCAATTGGTTATTAATTTAAATTTTATTTTAGTAATGTTAATTGATTAGAAACATAAATGAACATAAAGACATCAATTAAAGAATAGGTTACAAAAGAAATATTTTGGCTTAAAAATATGTCATAAAAACTCTTTTGTTTTTCATCTAGTATATGTTTATCTAGATCTAGATATTCTAGATATAGTTGAATATCAGCACAGGAAGGTTCAAAATCAGGTTCCGAAGATATTCAAGAAATATCCTTGGACGAAATTTACAAGGCTCTAAAAAAGGTGAAAATTCAAAAGCTCTTTAATCTATGCCTATGGAATCAAAATATCCCAACAAAGTGGAATAATTCAATAACTGTACTCTTACACAAGAAGGGAGATATAGCAGACCTGGAAAGATACAGACCAATCAGTCTCCTTAACGATTTTTATAAATTATATACCCGAATAATAACGAATAGACTAGAGACTAAGCTAGATTTTTATCAACCTCGGGAACAAGCCGGTTTCCGCCCTGCACAAACTATCACCTGCAGTGCCTAAAAACCCTGCTAGAAAAAACTAACGAATATAACCGTCCCCTGGCATTGATATTTGTAAACTTTAAAAAGGCGTTTGATACAGTGGAACTACCGTCCATCTTAAGAGCACTACAAGATTGCAGGGTCGACCACAGATAGTGTAATATAGTTAAAAATATATATAAAAATGCCACAACAACCATAAGTCTACATTCTGCAACTAATAAAATAAAGAAAAAAAGGAAAGTCAGGCAAGGTGATAAAATGTCACCAAAGCTGTTCATTACCGTTCTTGAGTATGCATTCAAAAGACTAACATGGCAACAGAAAGGAATATCCATCGATGGAGAAAGATTAAACCATCTACGTTTTGCGGACGATATCGTGCTTCTGTCAGATAATCTGGGAGAGATTAAAAACATGCTCCAAGAACTGAACGACATACTACAAGAAACTGGGCTGGAGATAAATTTCGAGAAAACCAAAATGATGGCCAATATGGTTCCCAGCGAAGAGATACAGATCAATAACAACAAGGTAGAATTAATCGATAGATACACACACTTGGGTCATGAAATTAAAATATCCAGAGACAACCAAACCTGCGAGCTAAATAGACGAATCACGTTGGGATGGGCGGCATATGGAAGGATGAGAGACATTTTTAAAACAAATATCCCAATTTACCTGAAAGGGAAGGCATTTAACCAATGCATCTTACCAGTCTTGACCTACGGAGCAGAGACTCTAACTTTAACGAAAGCTACTGCCGAAAAACTGAGGGTAACAGAAAGGCGAATAGGCCTGACGTTGAAAGATCGCGTGAGAAATGAGGAGATACGCCAACAAACGATATTATACGCGTAGACGATATTATACTGCGAATCAATAAACAAAAGTGGAGGTGGGCTAGACATGTTGCTAGAATTGAAGACGGAAGATGGACGAAGAGATTATTAGAGTGGAGACCAAGAGCCGACAAGCGAAGTCGAGGCAGACCACCCACCCGATGGACCGACGACCTAAGGAGAATAGAAACAAACTGGATTGCAGCAGCTAGAGATAGAGAGAACTGGAGATGTTTGGAGGAGGCCTATATCTAACAATGGATATGACAATGGGGCTAGATGATGATAATGTCTTTATCGGCCTGGTGATTCTAGAATAACATATCATGAGTCCCTTATCGCATCTCTTGATGAACTGTCTAGACTAGAGAATCTGATTGTTATTGGAGACTTTAATTTTAGAGACATTCCGTGGCCTACCTAACTGATCCACCTAGTGGCTTAACAACTTCTAAAAATGTATTTATAGATTCTGCATTAAATTCCAATTTACATTAATTTATAACAGAGCCGACTCTTTTCATATTCAATAATTTACCATCTATTTTGGACTTAGTATTCTCTTATGATCCCCATTTATTAACACATCACCTAATAAGCTCTCCAGTAGGTAACTTAGATCATGCGGTCATAACGTTTCATATTTAGTTTAACTTACAGTACTGTACTCCTAATCCTAATGTTAATAAAACGGTATATGAAATAATTGATTTTTAAAATGCAAATCACCAAATGGCTGATATTGATTGGAATGATGTTTTCGGCGACATAAGGAATCCAGTTGTACTCTGGGATTCGTTCTTACACGTTGTTAATTTATGCAAAAACAAAAATACCTTAAAAAACCATATACAAAATTAACATAACACCTTGGAAAAATTAATATATCTGATCAAGAAAGTTGTGGAACAAATACAGACATACAAATCGCATAGAGGATTTACTAATTTATCAAGACTTTGCCAACGATTTAAAGAAATCTTTACATGAAGGTCGTGTTGCCTACGAAGAGTCTATAGCCATTAGTAATAACTGTAAAAAACTGTAAAAAACTTGTGCAAGTATATTAGATCTTCGTTGAGAACAAAAGTGTCTATACCTTTACTGGAAAATGATAATGGGGATATATCCCACAATAACTACGAAAATGCCGAAGTTCTCGCCAGTACTTTCTCTAAGGTTTTGTCTGTCAAACCCACTAATTATCAGTTGCCTAATATTACTTCGTCAAGAGTGTCTTCTTTCCTTGAAAATATAATCATTACTCCTGAAAAAGTAAAACATCATCTTCAAAGTATAAAAAATAATTCGTCTCCTGGTCTCGACTTAATATCTTCTTTATTTTTAAAGCAATGTTCTAATGCTTTAGCCAGCGCACCCCCTATATGTGATTATTTCCTTATTCTTCACTACACATATATTGCCGATTTTTAAAAAAGGGAACAAATTGGAATTTAATAACTATCATCCTATCAGCTTTACACCTATAACATCTAAGATGATAGAATCTATTATTGCCGAGACAATTTCTGATTTTCTACAAAATGAATTGGTTATACTAGAACAGCAGCATGGTTTTGTGAAAGGACGTTTTACAATGACAAATCTTCACTAGTGTGTCAATGAATGGTCAAGAGCATTAGGCAGAAAAGCCCCGGTAGGCATTATTTACCTTGATTTTGCTAAAGCTTTTGATCGAGTTCCAAAGCGAAGACTATTACATAAATTGGAATACCTTGGTATCCGTGGTCAATTACTGAAATAGATCGATGCGTATTTAACAGATAGAAAGTTTTGTATAAGACTTGGGACTTTTTCTCAGTTGAGAGAACGGTTTTAAGTGGGGTACCGTAAGGATCAGTTTTGGGCCCAATTTTATTCATAGCATACTCAAGTGATCTACAATTTCATATTAAATACAACAAAGCTTTCTATGCAGATGATACAAAGCTATTTTCCAATCCCTCCGTAAATTAACAGTTACTACAAGATGACCTTGATTGCATCTCGAAATGCTGCTTTACCTGAATGCTGCTTTTTAATATGGACTAATGTGTAGTTCTTCACATGGGTAAAAATAATCCATGTCTTCCTTATTCCATTAATGGGCGTGTGTTAAAATCAGTGAAATCACATAATGATCTAGTATCTCTATAATTATTAACAATCTAACTTGGTCGGAACATATTTTGCATATTTCTAAAAAAGCTAACAGTTAATTATATCTGCTAAATAACAAGTTTGCGAAAGTGTCATTTTATCTGTATAAACTGTACATTCGTCCAGTTCTGGAATATTACGGAGCTGTTTGGTGTCCGGTATTAGTGCGCTAGAGATCGTACTATCCTCGAAAACTTACAGCGGCAGTGCACTAGGCTATCTTTCGGTCTCTCAAGACCTACGTATACAGAAAGACTAAACATGACGAATCTCACTACATTTAAACAACGTTGACTTCGAAGCGATTTAATTATTACATTTCGGATAGTAAAATACAACTTTGGAAATGTAGGGGATATGTTTATACTAGACAATGACAATCGTCTTCGTGGACACAAACTTAAGTTTAAAAAGGAAACTTTTTTAATAAAAACTAGACAATTTTTCCTCTGTAATCTAGTGTTCTCGATATGGAATAGCCTCCCGGCTGAGATCATAGATGCTCCGTCTGTCAATATTTTTAAAAATAAACTGGATGATCATTTTGCTCCATAGTTGAACATTTAATTTGGAGTAAACACTTGCTATTACCTATGTTTTTGTATATTTATTTAGTAAGTGCTTAATATGTAACTGTTGTAATGTAACCATTTAACTGCACATTATATAACATCGTATTCACATAGGGCATATGGGTTTTGCGACCCCTTCTCAAATTTATTGTAAAACAAATAAAAATAAAAAAAATTTGACACACTCTATGGGTTAATTTTTAGTTTATTTTTATATGGTTATATTAGGTTTACTTTTAAAAAATTCAGATTCACATTTTATGAAAAGCTTAGGAATATTTGTGTACATGTCATAATTGTTCT